TGCAACCTTATAACCTTCTAAAAATAATTACATATTACATCTTTAGGTTTGACTGTAAAAAGTTTTAAATTATAATTTAAAAATCAGAATATTTCAAATTTAATAACATTAGCAATTTTATATAAAGAAAACTGCCTTTTTTTTTGATTAAAGGTTTGAAAAATTTTAAATAGTCAGAGAAAATCATAAACTTATTGGTTATTTTAAAAAGTAGGTTAATATACATATAGCATTAGATAATCAATTTGATTAAAAATAGCAGCATCTGTTTTAAATTAACATAATCTTTAAAGTAATAAATAAAATTACATGGTAATAATATTAACAAAATTCAAAGAACTTTAAAAAATTAAAAGATAAATGAGAACTAGAAAGTTAATAAAAAAATCAAAAAGATTTTTAAGATGAAATTTGCAAAATCTTAAAAGTAAAAAAAAGACAAGTTCCATAAAGTATTATGATTAAAAATCTTAGCAGAAATTTTAGATGTTTTGCATAAAGTTAATTTAGTAGTTCATTTTTATATAAAAAGATACAAAGGAGTCTACTCATAGCATATGAGTAGTTCTTATAATATATATATGTTAATATATAGTTTTTATAACTAGTTTTTGGTTTTTTGTTTATTTTTTTTTAGTAATAACTTTTATAACTTAATTTATTTAGATAAAAAATGCATATGCATTTAAGTAGGTTGTTTTTGTATTATTTTCATTTTGTTTTAAAAGCAGCAGTATCCAATTATATCTGATTCCATAAAGAGAAATTAGTATTCTTATATAGCTTTTTTATAATTGTATTATTTTACTGCATTCAGTTTGATGTAGTTATTACTTTTATATAAGTATATAAGATTGCACTACTTTAATTAATTAAAACAAAAAAAACAAAAAGAGTTTTCAATTCTTTTAAAAGTATAATTATAAACTTTATCTTTTGATATATGCTAAAACCTTTGGAATATTCACTAATATCCAGGTTGGTATAAAATTAAAGAGATAGTACATCATATTATAGATTTGAATTTATTAATACTATATTGCAAAAAAAAAAAATGTGAAATTCTGACCTTAATACTTTAATTCTTAATTTTAACTATAATGAATTTTGAAATTGGATTTAATATGTACTCCATGATATGGTATTATTAAATGCAGGGTAAATTAAATTGTGTTTTTTGATAATTTATTTTAAAATTTAATATATAAGAAAATCAAAGTGTTCGGGGTAATTCTGAGCGACATTATGGCATTAAAAAAATTACGCATAATGGTCACCCTTTTTTATTAAAATGCCCAAATCGAAATTTCTATTCCTTATAGACTATTGTGAACATTCAAATATTCACTAGATTTGATTAGAATTGCAGGAAAAAAAAAACCTTGGGAATGTCAAACAATAAAAAATAATAAACTCATACAAATTCTATAAAAGCTCATAAGTCTTGTAACGTTTCAATTATAAAAAAAAAAACATCGACATATGGTATACTTTATTCCTAAATTATATTAGAAGCAACAACAATCAAATGAACTTATACTACAATTATAATACTTTTTTTGGAAAGATCATAGATCATATTTATTTGAAAATAACCTTCCGTAATTATTGAAATATTAATGTAACCCATGAGCTTGCGAATGCAACGTAAATAAAAAAAGTATGATCAACTTTTTTTTTACGTCGTACTGGGTACTTTATTAAAAAAAATCCCGAACACAAATATCTAAAAAGTCAACATAAACATTTTAAATTTTTAGACAAATAAGACTTTGAATTAATAATTATTCGGGTCATCCAGGTAGAAATTCGGATCAATCTGGATATAAAATGAAAAAAAAAAGGTATAAAAAAGATTAGGTAAGATAATAATTATGAAATTTAAATATCAAACCCTGGATACACATTTGAAAGAATACGGGTCCTTGAAAATATCGAAACAACAATAATTTCAATAATTTGAAATTTTCATGTGAAAAATAAAATTATTATAAGAATGGGCTGAAATAAACTTTTGATTCTATGAAAATAATAATTATAGAAGTATTTAAATGTAAAATTATTTATTATTGCGAGAAACATTGATTATTATTATAACATTGAATTGATTTCGCTAAAAAATTCATTATTTCTTAAAGAATATCATTTTAAATGATTTTTTTTTTTTACTTTTTATAGTGACAGGAACCCCAAAACTTTATTAATTGATATGGATACCTCAAAATTTAATTTTTTGGGGGGGGACAACATATTTTTGTAAATCATTCTCATAATAATTATCTTAAAGAAAGTAAAATTGAACTCATTATAAGATATTTTTGGTAAATAAAATGGGCGATTATAAGGAATTGTAAAGTCATTTAATAATAATAATCCCCTTTTTTTTCTAATCCATAACAAGAATATTTGATGCCAAGATTGCCAAGAAGGAAATAAATACTAAGAAGAAACATAAAAAAAACCCCTTTCCTTTATTAAGTAAACATATTTAAAAAAATGTACCAGTCCTGTCGGCCCGATTTCCCATAGTCATAAAAAAATTTTATAACTTAAAAAAACGGTTCCTTAATGGAACTGAAAGAATATAGTGGATAATTTACTACCTAATAGGTAGTATATTTGGCAATGAATTCTCAAAAAAAAATTATATAAATTATAAATTCATCGTGGCAAAATATCCACATTTAAATGATCCAAAGGAACAAGTCATGTGAATAAGTATGAGAGATTATATAAAAATAATGGACTTATGGGATTCTAAAACAGGTAAATTATGCGTATGACGGAACATCGTACAAAATGGGTAATTATTTAAATGTAATTACGTAAATGATGAGTTATTGATAAAATATACGTAAATAACAAACATAAGTTTTTATAGTTTTATTACAAAAATATTATTATATTTGTTAAATGCATTTTATGCATACAATATAAAATATTGAAAATTCTAGAAGAAATTAAATTAGAATGATAAAAAAATGATCAAAACGAATTAAAAAGTTTCAAAAAAGATTTCATGATTATAAATAATGATTATTTTTTAAAAATAAAGAACAATATCATTGTTTCATATTTAATACGAAACATGTTATAAGTAATATGTAAGATGAAGATCTTACAATTCTTTGTAAAAAAAATTTCAAAGAAAGAAAAAAAAAACTATAAAGGCAATTTCTTTAAAAACTTTAAAATTAAATATAGAATTAAGAAAACGGGAATTTTTACAGAAGTATCGAGAATAGATTGACCATGTATTTTAATCGATTCAAATTAACTAATAAAGGAGATAAATCTTGTATTTATATTATATGTTACTATTTTTAGATAATGATTTTCTTTTACACAAAACTTTTTTTTTAATAAAAAGGGTTGAAACCTTTATATGCGGCGTCCTTTTCTTTTTCCGCAAAACAAAAAAAAAAGAGATTATGTGGGCGTTATTTTGACCTATTATCTTGTAGGTTTAATTTAGTAATAGGCACAGGAAAAGGGATTTTCTTTCGCGTATAGTAAAATAGTAAAATAGTAAAAAGGTAAAATGACATCAGAAATCAAATAATATAATTTATGATTTAAAAAAAAAGGCCGTAATTCAGCCATAAAAATTACGTTATAATATATGTATTCTACCGTTTTTGACGTGTTTAAAAAAATTATAATTTCCTTTTATGATAGAACACAATTCAATGAATAAGGCGTGGACACATAATTTACTAATCCGGGTTTAGTTTTTTAGAAGTTCCAACCGGAAAATATTTATTTATAAAAATGAAAATTTTTGGATGTATATTTTTATATACGGCAAGTAATAAATATTTATTATTAGTGAAAAAAAAAAAATTTGTAATAATGAAGTAAAATGTTTCTTTAAATTTGTTCCTATTAATAATAAACTTAAATATTCTTTATTATTAAATCCTTTTTTCGGGTAAAAGCATAAAGCGAAAAAAAAAGACGTAAAATGATCTCTAAATTGATCTATAACCGGTACAATATTATAATATTTACTTATTTTTCAATTAAAATATTTCCTAATAAAGTTTTGACTACTTCAATAATATAAATAAATCAGCTGTGTTGTTGTATGTATAATTTGTATAATTTGTATAATTGTATATTGTAATCATTTTTATGGTATCACCTTCACCTTTCTTTTTAATTAAACACTAGTTCAATATCTGGGATTTCAACTGGATTTCCTTTTTAAAAAAAAAACTATTTTGGGCAAATTTAATTATTGTTGTTCAAAAAATACATTTTAGGTTGTCGGTTCATTTTGCCCCTAATTGTTTATAGGTCACTACATCTTTTTGTTTTCCCTCAAATTTTTTTTTTTTTTTTTTTTTTTT